TCAATACAACAAATGCCTCGTCTGTGGATGATGCATTGAAGAGTCGACAACCGTTGATTGTATTTTCATCTAGATTATCCATCACTTTACTGCAATGACATCGGATTTCTGACTTGTAAAGACTGCGTGATTCGTTTCTGTAGCTGTTTCGATGTTCGTGTTTTAAACATTAAAAATGTTTAACTGCGTATTAAACGAAAAACGAAGTATTCGCGAGTAATGTTAATTTTTATTAATCTTCTACGGCCATATCATTCTCCTTAAGCACGTTTTGAAAATAAAATCCGTTTATTCCACGAAGACATCAATGATATTACCCTTCTTCTAAAATTTCTATGATACTGGTTTTATTCTAAACCCAACTGACCATTAGCGTAATGTCCAGGGGTTTTGATATACCTACCCAAAAAGGTGCAAAACACATACATTTATCGAAATGATAAAAGCGTTTATTTTCGGGTTAAAGAAACATTATTCAAGAACTAAATCTGCCTATTGCAGGTCTTTCCCAAGGCCTTGTTATATAAACTATTAATTAGGCATTTATGAACATGGCAAGACCATAGTCAACTCTCTAGGTCATCGGGTGGCCCCGATATTAAGTAGATTAGAACAGTTGGGCCATTAAGTGATTTAAGGAGAAGCGAAGCTAAGCAGGGAACAACCAGTACGGTGGTTATAATAATGAACAATCAATGCACACATCTTGTCAAAACTACAAATAGTGATAACTTTGCACAGAATAAAGTAATTTGAATGAAATTTTCAATATATTCATTTAGCATTATCTATTTTTGAACTATTATAGCAAGAACGGCCAGCTCTTTATATAAATCCTCCATAATGCTTCATAAAGGATTGCTAAAAAAATTCCCCCCGTTGTCACAACATGTAATCACGACTATCTGGTGGGATGTCTTAATGCATGTTCTATCTAGGCACAAATATAATCACATGCAGTGAGAACGTTGTCGCAAGTCACCAATGAAAAGTGGTCATATGTATTTGTTCGAAAAGTATCACAGATCTTCATATTATACAATTGGAGATATGTACGTTTGTTTGTGATTTCTTCGTATTGTGTCTTGTCCGTATATTTGTCTTGTGTAATTGTCTGTGAGTGGTGCAGTCCCATTGCACTTACTACTAATAGGGTAAATATATTTAAGGTCTTTTTGTCCAATATTAATGATTTCTCTTGACGGAAATGTATCAGGTAAAGCTCCTTTAAGCGCCTATACAGTAACTTTCTGAACATCGACGTTTATAAGAACACCGGATGGCAAATATCTTTTGGGGAATTCACATAGCTATAAATATTGGTTGTGCTTTTGTATATTTTACTGATTAAAACTGCGACATATGGTAGTTTTTGAAACTAGATTGTAAATCTATTAGCTGGGTATTGTATATAATTAAAAAGGGTGACGAAAAGAGCTTGAGACTTAGAATAAAGGGAGTTCACACTCTTTCATAACAATTTGATTTCTCTTGGTCTTTTAAGGCTTTTTGTCAATTTTTGTGCTCTCTAAAACGATTATGTTTCAGCAACTTCAAGAAAAGGTTAATCATAAAGTAATTATAAATCATCTTCTTTTTTCAAGAAATAGATTAGATTGGTCTACATCCCACCCATTTCTTATATTATATGCAGTCGTTTCAGTTGGCGGCCAAAATGAAGAATTTTCATAGTTATAGTAGGCCAAACCAGGAGTCCGCAGGTTCGCTCCCGGTATTGGCCGAGAGAGTTCCTAGGGATTTTCCCCTTGTCAGTGGTGAGGGACGGAGGGGTAGACAAGGAACATCGTCTAGTCGTTAAGATGGGACGAGGTCCCGTTTACACGTTGGTGTGCACGCAAAAGAACCTTTGACAGATGAAATTCGAATCAAGATTGGACTGGTAGCGCACTGCATGACGTATGCCCGTCTTCATTACCCGGGTTTAGTGCAGAAAAGTAGGACGTTAAACCTCCTTTCATTTCGAGTAATTAGAGAAAAGGTTAATGTTAGGTGTTATATAGGGTTACATAAATAATGGGTCTTAAAATGGCCAATTATTTTAATCAATATGTATAAGTAACCGTCAGCATGGTTAATCGATGATTGGTGACACAATTCTTACACCACATTTCATTCTCGTGGTATTTTGTGCTGCGTAAAATCAAATCTTTTGGATTTTTTTTTTTTTTTTTTTAAACTGAGGTATATATTAAAATGTGTCTTTTGGTTTGTAGCAATATGTGATCCTCATAAACACTTTCTTGAATTGCTTGAAACATAATATACTGTACTTCTACTTCCTTCATTTATATTCCCAGATATCATATAGACTGTTTATATCTACTAGTTTATAATAATACTACAGACAAGGGCCTTCTATCTTTCTTGTCTTGTAACCTGATAAGAATGAAGTCATAAATCTTTGAAATATCAAACTTGACAACCCCAAATTATTGCGTATAGTCACTGTGTTACAGGGAAAACATTTTTTGTCTTTTATCATCTTATGTAATGTTCCTTCAAGCGCTAAGCTATTGTTCTGAATCCAGAAAACATTTGATATTTTCCTTATTTTTATCTGGCGCGCCCCAGGTCCCAGAGGAACATTTTCTTGTCATATCGAATTGGAGTTGAGAAATTGAGAAACGTACCGTACAAGTCTTAATCGACGGCGGTTGTTCGCATCGGGACATTTAAGTGGTAGGCCGGATAAAATTAGTCGTTTATTAACAATTTAGCTAAGCTACAGTCGTCTTGACTAGATTATACATGCTAAAGGCACAAAGCAAAATTAACCAAAAGAGAGGGAAGATCGGGTTACCTTGTTTTGTTTTCTTAACGAATCAAACGTCAGATGTCAAAGCTGAGGGGACAAGTAGTAATTTTATCCTTTAGTGACTGCTGTTCACAATATGAGAAAGCATTTCAGTGTTAGGTCCTCAATATGATCAAGTACTAATATCAGAAGCAATAACCTCAGCTAATCCCCCTTTGTGGATTATCTAGTGTACGGTTATTTACAGTAAAATACATATTGTTACATTTTTATTTTCTTAAAACGATACCATAACGGAACATCGTATTGATATCAGCTTTTAATTTACAAGTAATATAGTGTAGAACAGGTAGTATTACATTGTCATAATTTGAAGAAAAGAAGAATTTAATGGGTTAGAGTATAAACGGGAAGATAACTCCGCGATTTGCGATTGAAATATTAAAAAGGAATTTTCCTTATTACTCAATAAACAATCCTTGCAAATTTGAAAAGTCAATAAACAACGTTGGAATATATTATTATGCTCCAATATCATAATTTTCGAACACTAGAAGTGTGACCTTAGCTTGTCTTAAATTTGCCAAGAATCGATACTGGATAATGTGGCAAAATATACACGCAGAAGACAAAGATAATCGCTTGTTATTATAAATGTGGTTCAGTACAACTGCCCCCCTTCATCCATGCAATTGTTTTCGATCAGTGCGGGGGTTTTTTCCGACGAAAGTGCAAATTATCAGTAGCCTTTACAACTTCAAACAATATGAAATGTTTATTACATGTCCATGTGAATTATTACTAAGTTTTACCAAAAAAATCGGTTAAATTTCGTTTCGTGTAAAAAACAAATTTTCTGTAAATATTTGTCTAGTTGTGCAAATAATATTTCCCTCAAAAACAATATTTTGATCAATTAAAACAGTATTTAAAACACTTGTACGTGACATTAAAGATGAATGAAATTTGATAGCAGGGACATATTTGAATGCTAGATAGCGAAGAGATAGGGATGATGATTGGTATTGACGAGAATGGAACCAAATAGACTGATCAAATTTACTAAATGTTTGTTCTCGCCCTCCATATTGTACATGAGATGACTGAGGCGGGAAGCTGATCCCCTTTACAGGTCATAGGGTCATTCAAGGTCTGCCTTGACAGAAAGCGTTTGTTTAACCAATCATAAACCGGGTCTGTACCGTTTTCCAAAATGGCCGTATGTATATCAGAATATCAACAGTCTAGTATGTTTTATTGTAATTTAACCAATCACCTGTCGTGTTATTCACTGTTTATTCAAGCAAGGTTTTGATCTCGACAAATTAGCTATATGTTAAAGAAACAAAAATAGGAGAAAAGTAATGGAGACTAGTAGCTGTAGACATCGAATACCTATTGAGATAAGAGAAAATAACATAGAAGATGGCGGGGTTAGTCAAACAGACCTTAACTAAACTTGGGTATTACAAACCATATATTTCACAGTCTTGTGCATCTAGCTTCATATTTCCATCACTATTATATGTTTTCCTTTGGTTTTATACATAAAGATATAAAAAATATTACACAAACTTGGTTGTTGACATTAGCTTTGACGCCATATCGACTCTTATTAGTTAAAGATGTTTAAGATGGCAGTATGTTGTCAAAATGCTTCTAATTTTCCCGCGTTCAAGTAAAACGCAATATTTAATGCTGTTTACAATGAATGCACAAATCATAACATTTAGTGAAATAACTCAAGTGTAACAGCATAAATTGTTAGCTATGTAAACTATCAGATGAATGACGAGTGGTATCAGGTGTTCAATAATTATATCGATGGGCGGGAATCATTTGGAAAGACGAAAACTGTTCAAATTTAAATAAACGGGTAGGAGTGTGTCACAACAATCTGCTTTGTTTCTCGCCTGTGTTGCAAATACTAACTTTTTCAAAATGAATTAAAATTCAATTAAAAGTTAATTATTGAATTTTTTAATTCTAACGATGCGGGACATTAATGATGCAAATACAAACAAGTTTGTGAAAATAATCAGAGTTTGTATGAAAAGACATCTAGAGCTTGAATCAATTAGACACACTATAGTAAATAATGTAAGTAATCTATATGGGTTTGGGTCATTAAAAACTCATTACGCTGTGTGATATAGTGTACACTCGTCATCTAAAACCAATTATCATCATCTATTATCAATCCATGGGCAGTATTTATAAAATATAGTCGTTTATTCACCCGATAATAGATGCACATTGTAGCATAAATTTAATTAACACAGAATCAGTTTTGTTTTGAAGCATAATACACCACACAACGCAAAAAAGCAAGGATGTCCGGCACTGTGATACAACACCCACTATCGCGCAGGTAAGATTTTGCTGCATGTTGTTATACATTGTTGTCAACACTCTCTTTCTGTCCATCTTCTCGTCTTTGATATTCGGTCCTGGGGAAGGGAATGTTCGCAGAAAATGAACCATATTTGAATTATGAGCAGTACGTACAGTTTTCGTGCACCCGCTCATCAAAGTTTTGGAACTGGGTTAGATAGGAATTATTCACTGAGTTAATTTTATATGGTAACCTAAGCAATGGGAGGGTTTCTTCGAATGGCCTTGCAAGGGACAGTGTCTATTAGTTTGGATGAGAATAAAAAATCTAGGTCCCGTGCAGTAAAAGTACCAGTAACGTAGGCGAAAACGATAAACCCCATTTCATTTCTCAGGTCGGAGATATCAGTATTTGTAATCTGGATCATGCATAACATGGATCTTTATAGGTTTCTCGTACAGTGGTAGCCCCCTTGTTTTTATCATTGGATATATTCTACACGTATATACTTTTATAATATGTCTAACAATGTAATATTATATAAAGCAGAGTGAAGCTGGTTTGTGTTTCGTTACAGTTCGTCGGAATTTGTAATGTTTTTGCATAATCATTATAATCCACAACATTACTTATATTCATTTTAGATATGGTGTTAAGCTTTTTCTATCTGATGATGTTTTAATGACCATAACGGTATAATATATTTATTGAGGATGTACTGTATATCCCGTTAAACATTATAACTATAACATCAGCTAGAGAGAATGTGATTAGAAGTTATTTACGACTAGATGAAATCACAACGTGGCAACTGGATACTCTTAATGCATCTAACATACATTTGTACGAAACTTAACCTTGGAAATAATACTAGAGAGGTGAAACTTGTGGCCCGGTTCCATCTTTTATTTAAAGACAATAACACAGAAGAAGACTGCGTCAGGGTAACCATTAATTCACTTATAAGAACCTGTGGGCTATTAATTTTAAAATGATATTGTTTTCATGAATCTGAATCTCTGTAAATAGCATTATTAATTTTTCTCAGAAATTTCGAAGATTTTAAAAAGAAGCTGTTTTACTTGTCAGGGTAGTTACCAAGAAAAATAAACAATGTTTATATTTCGATGTGCTAGTAATATTTATCCAAGACAAATAATATATTATACAAAATTAAATTTGAATAATTTTTAAAACCTAATATTTATTATAAAGAACAGTCATTTCTGTGAACTTTTCTTAAAGTCGAAACTCAAAAGCTTCCATGCAGAATATCCAACAGGATTATTAGAAGCATGCACCGAATGACACGACAACTATATATATAATTAATTTAGCAACAAATCTTCAAAAATTCATTTTAGCACTAAGCTGTCAATCATTGGTCGTGATACCAGAACTAATCACAACATGATGGAAATCAAACCTGTATTTATCACTGATACTCTACTGTATATTAAACATCTCCTTCAAAATCTTCAAATTGGAATAGTTTGTGGCCTATTAGAAGTCACCCATGAGGCTAGAAGATCTGTGGGCAACTGGGGAATAGTAGCTGCCGCCAAGCGGAAGATAGATGCACTTGGTGCCCGAGTGCCGCTTTAAACGTCTGGTAACATTTAACGAGATCTCCTTGTGGCATCATTGATGAAAAATCAGATCCCCCATACTCAAATTTGTACCTCTAGAAAATAGCTAATATAGCAATGCTTATTGGTGTTCTTGATTGGCAGGGTTCAATGAAATCTACCACAGTCTCTTTTTCCATTACGTGTGCTGAGCAGTCATCTAGAGGGAGGAAACCATCTTTTGAAATGTGTCGATATTGTAGATGCGGTTCGATATCAAAGACGGTGTTTTGATGCTATGTTTAACGCCTCGTCAAGTGTCCTGCCATTCGGGCATTTTATCTGACATTCTGGGTGGTATTATATATGTTTTCAACTAAATCGTTTCCTCATATTTTTAGTTTTCTCATTTTCTGGCCACTTATCAAACAAGATATAAACCAGACTTTACATCACGGCATGATATTAACACATCAACATTTAAATCTCAACAACAAAATAACATTTAAAACTATATATACAATTACCAATAAAAACCTCAGTTCTGACGAAGATACTTGAATATTTTACCATTTAACATATATTAATATCTATCCCAGACTAAGATGTATTCCATCCCAGATTAACATTAAATTAATATCCACTCCAGTCTAATATACCCCGTCTAATATTTACCGGGCAATGTGACTAATAAAACACTAATTTTGGTCTTTTTTGAATTGAATACAGCAAATTTGTACTGAATTGACTATGGATTAAAACATTTTGTCTGGAGCCAGTCAACTTTCTGCGACATTTTTCGGGCATCGATTATTATTTGTGCATGCAGCTTCAACAGTCTGATCGGATGATTGGAATTCAAATCGGCATAGAGAGGGATTTCGGTTGCAAAACGATTGGAAACTTTGAAGTCACTGCTATTCCAGCCCCCATACTTGCGACGATTGATTGATTGTTTGTGATTCAGGTCAGCCACCAAAGGTAGGTTATATTGGACCACATTGAATTTGCTGTATTCACGGGCTGGTATGGCAGGAAAACGTGTTTGCGGTAGTTAAATTTTCAAAATTGATTGGTTGATGGGAATTCGAGTCACCTACCTAAGTTAGGCTATATTAGACCACGTTGAAGTTGCTGTCTTCATTGGCTGGAAAAGCAAGAAAACGCGTTTGCGGCCGCCAAATTTTCCAAATATTCGTGTAGGGAGGGGGCGCCGTGAGCCACCCGAAATTCTTTCGGGTATTTCAGGTTCTGCCCCCCCCCCAACATTTATCTAGCCCGTACGCCTATGCTTCAAATGCTGCCCCTTGGCCCCAGACCTTATGTTAAGCTAACAAACGTTATACCAAACTTGCCCAAATACTTATTATTGTTATAATAATCTTTACAAAAAAACAAGCAATTTGATATTACGAACTCTTGATTTTTGTAGACCCTTCCACGTGGCTAATCAAATTAAAAGAAGAGACAGTTTGTACAAATGAAGAACAATGATGTACATGTATAATATTAAAAATATGCCCTCTGATTTGTGAAAAAAAAAGTAAATACTACATCTTTATTTTACAATTCTTTGCTCAAGCACACGGTACCAAGAACTACACGAAAAGAAGATGACAAAACGGACAGGTAAGACTCGACTATTTATACTACAGAAACCAGAGTATCAATTGAGAGATAATCCTCAACTTTTATCGTTTAACCGCGATGGGCAAGAAAGTGTTGAAATTGAAATTTTCGATTTAAAGGGGAACTGGTAGTGAACAAATGTATTGTGATTAATATATTTTATTTCGTACTGTTGTATCCAACGACCACAATTCAGTTTTTGGAAATAATATGTTCACCTTTGTAACAAGATCGTGTCGCTAAACCCATGACCATCATCTCGCCTTGTTTCGCCTTGTTTGGCTGTGGGAGGAAACCGGAGGACTCGGAGAAAACCCACGAGGTTGGACATGCGACCATACTCCTTGTCACGTAAAAGCTGGGAATCGAAACCACGCCACTTGACTCAATGACAGACCCTGTGAACTAACGCGCACGCGTTAAACCATTCTTCCACCGAATGCCCCTAGCTTTTATTGGACACGTTTAAAATAAAATGGGTTTTATTATTCGAATAAGGATTTCATTTGCATTAAATACAAAAGTACAAGTAAAACAAATATTTGTTAGCCATAGGAAGTCCAAAATGAGAAGTGGTATGATGAGGTCTAAGAAGAGTAAGTATATACTCTGTATAGGTAGGTAGTTTAGGTAGAGAGAGCGAGAGAGAAATAGGATTTAACGTCCAGTCGACACAAACTATGTCATTTCGGGACTAACATATGGTTCAATTTTATTTCAATAATCCGGCAACTGGAGGACCCGGAGAAAACCCGCGAGGATGGATAGGCGACGCCACTCCTTGTCACATACAACCGGGGAATCGGAAACATTATTTTGAACGAAGATAATTGTTATATTGTTCCAGGTGTATTTGATTTGGGCAAAGAAAATATCACGGAGGGTTGCAGTGTTGTAATATTATAGCTGAATAGTGTTCCAGTTTAAAAAGACAAAGTGTATTTGATTTGGGCAAAGAAAATGTCAGAGAGGCTTGCAGTGTTGAAATATAGCTGAATTTGTGTTCCACTGTCGACAGTTTAATCCAAAGGCGATGCGAAATTAGTAAAGACATTAGATATAATAATGTTAAAAAATAATTATAACTAGCCTAAGGAGTACTGACGTTTTTGGGTATGTCACGTCACGTCACGTCTTGTCACATCAACATTCAAGTTACACCATTGAAAGGTTAGGTCACCATCTAGAAAGCGAAAAGTCGAACAAAATTCAAAGTGAAAACGGAAGTAAACAAAATCTAAATTCAAAAATCGGCTCTCTAAGAATTGTTGCCATTTGAAGTAGGTCTAATACAAAAAACAGGTTTTCAAAAATCGGAATTGAAATGGCGGTTGAATATCTATTTGAATGTTTTCTGTAAAATACAATATGGCGTCCAAGCGGTTGAAAATGTTATCGTACAAGGTCTTTGAAAATGAAAGATAATATCTGGGGCTAACACCACCATATGTCATTTTTTGTCTATTTTTAAAATGGAGAGAACTATTCAGGTTCGGGAAAAATCGGAAGGCCTCGGTAATTTCCGGAAGTTTTCGGAAGCCCTCACAAATTTTTTTAATATGTCATCTTGAAGGCATTGATGTGTTCCTTATTCCTATCAAGTTTCAACTTGATACATCAAATATGACGGAGATACGCCATCTTAAATGTCGAAAAAATGAAGAAGAAAACTTTCGCAAATCTTTGATGCTAATATTAATCGAGCGAACTTTCGAATTTCGAAAAACCTTCAGTCAGAGCCCATATGGGATTCGTCCAAAGAATCCAAAAATCAAAACCCGAAGAAGATCCGTTGATAAATAACCGAGATATGGGCAATCCTGTTTTTCAAAAATGACCCAATTTATATTTAATAAATAGACGCACGAAGGTCAATCACATATATGTTGGCAGAATGTTTGCACCATGTAAAGTTTTGTCTGCACAAACTGACTAAATTCCCCCCCCCCCCAAAAAAATAATAAAATATTCCAATATAAATAATATAGATAATCAACCATAACGCAATAAAAAACACTTACAGAAAAAATACGTGTTTCGACCGAAGGTCCGAAACACGTAACTATATCCAATATATTGTTTAAGTGGTATTTTATAAGTAACTGAATGAGAATAACACAATTATATGGAATATAAGTTACTTAAAGGATTTATTCCAGCGATGTTTCGACGAGGGTTCTCCCGTCTTTATCAAGTTTGATAAAGGTCAAAACGTCGCTGAAATAAATCCTTTAAGTAACTTTTATGCCATATAATTGTGTCATGTGTTATGTTCCAATATAAACTTATGTAGATAATCAACCATAACGATAAATAATAATATACATAAATATCGTAACAAATAAGGATATTGACTGGGTACAGTTTCTGACAGTCATTATCTACTTGTTTTGGTGTATAATTATGGGATTGATTAATAGCGCCACCTATACATTAGGGTCAGGGATCAATGTAAAGACGACTAGATTTAATAAGCTAGTTACGCTTGGTAGAATTTTTGATATTTTATCTCGGTTTACGAGGCTGTAATGACACGTTATCATACGAGAATCTCGAAGATTTTGGATACTTTTCACGTCATGTCACGCGTGTGGCCAGTTCTCGCGATATCTCGCTGATTATCGACTGTATGGACCAAAAAGCCAGGCTTAAAGCGATCAGGGGGAATATCTACTGGAGTAGAGATAATGTCGGATTTCATTGTTACCCATCTAAGACCATCAATCATCATGAGTGACAGGTCAAGAATGAAATATGAAGAAGAATCACTCTTTGTGTGACTCCTAATTATTGAACCTATATCATGGTGTCTCTGTTGACGAATATTTTGGAGGAAAATAAAATAAATAATTCTCGTTTGGAACTTGACACATACCACAGCTGAGGACATAGCATGCATATAATACAATTTACATACTTTTATAATTAATAAAATATGTACACTATTACTATTTTCAAAAAAAATATTGTGAGATTCATCTTAAGGACTATTTAAACCCGAGGTCCACCGATGCAAAGTGATAAAAATAACTGGCAATAGTCAAAACACAAATAATAAATTTCAATATAAACATACCCAACACTAAATCCATTCAATATAAACATACCCAACACTGATTTATTCATTTCCAGTTGAACGTTAAACCCCATTCCATTTATTTATTTCATTTAATATATTAAATGGTCAGAAAAGAGATTTAAAAATTATTAAAACATTCTTCCTTTAAAGTTTTCGAAATTATCATTGCCTAAACCGTGGTAGTCGAGCTGTTAGGTTACTAAACTAGGTTTCAAGCCCGGCATCACTTCTTAGGGGTGGCGCCTATGGATGGGACGAACAACCACGGCTTGGGAGCATACACATCGGCTTGCACGTAAAAGACCCTTGACATTTGGAAATCGAAGAAGACCAGTCGAACCACAGAATTAAAAAACAAATACCATATTACTTATATTTTCCAGGAGTTAGGATGGGGCACAAACCGAGACCATGACGTAGAGTTTGAATGCAAAACAAGAGTAGGCCGTAGCGCTGCTATCCGGACAAAATTTCTGTCATAGAACACTGCATGGTGTATGCCCGTCTTCACTAGAACGGTTGGTGCAGAAAAGTACGTGGTAACCCCATTTCAGTTCATTTTATTTTGTTTCATAGAAATTCATATTTTGGAAAATTGAAGAGGAAGAAGAAGAATAAAATTATGGCTTAAGTGATGATAAAAAGTAAATGATAACTAGTAGCCTGGCAATATCTTCATGTATGATTCATTGGTTGGAAGATGAGATGTCTAAGCTTAATTAGACTCTTATAATAAAACAATTATAATGGATTAATAATAACAAAGAAGAACAGAATACATAATCAGCGGATTAAAGAGCAAATTAAAGTAGAGTAGTCTAGAATTACAATCATAATAGTTCCTTTAACACGCGTTATCGTATCACGAAGAAAATGACCGAAATAAAACAACGATATGGGGGAATATAAAATTTGTCTTGGAACTCGATTCCGGATAACCCTATCAACGATTTAATAAAGTTTCCCTATCACATTCCCCAATTTCACAAAATCCGTAATTCTTTCATTAATTTGGAAATTAGAAGATGAAACTTAATCGTGGAGAGGTAGTTACACGCAGGAAACTAATATTTCCTTTCCGAAACATAGCAAGAATCTTTTAAGTGGTCGAGGCGATTTAACGTAACTTGGTCCGGGCTAGAAATTATGAAACCGTCAAGGCGATTTGGGCGAGACGTGAGACATGTGTTGTTTTTCTGGGAGTAATCGCAACCTAGTTAAGTAGATCTTAATCTCCTCCAGAAGCTCGACTATCTGTATCATGCAATCGTGTTTCTTTACAAAATTCGTCTGATTACTGAAATCCAACCTCTTAAACGTCGAGATCAGCTCTTCAATCCACGCATGCGCTATTGAGTCTGATCGGAGTCCTGTAACCAAAGCCGTGATGACGTCGACAACGTGGCGCCCATAGTTTGTCAAAGGAATTTACCTCAATAAAACCCGATTACAGAAAGTTCACACTTGATATTTGTAACCAATCAAATTAGAGTGTTCATTTCTGCCACCGCTTTTAATATCCGTATGATTGACAATGTGTAGTTGGGATATGACAGGACATAATAAACAGGCCCTTAATACATGACCAGAAACAAGATTCATGTGTGACTGGAAGATTAAATTGATACGAAACTAAATAGATATTTAACATGGGGCTTTTCGAAAAGTTCATTTGGGAAGATGACCTTAATCCGTGTAAACGTATTCTTTCATAACGACGAATGAATCATATAATTATGATGAAATGTGACACCATTTAAAGTGTCATTTTTTAAGCCAATGATGACGACTCAAGATATAAAGCAAAGTAATAAGAAGGCCTGATTCTAAAATACAAAGTGAATTGATTGTTTAAAAATGGTGTATGCGGTTCTTTCGTTATAAACAGTATAGATTGAAGTTGTTTATATTAGATGTACCATATGTTTCAACATCTTGTATAATTATCACTGTATTTCTCACACTAACAATAAACTCTCTATAACCACACTTCAACCTCTTGTTTTTACGACTACCGTCACAAAGAGGTTATCTATAACAAAGCAACGCCCGTTCTCATCACAGATGTGAGGGCGTACGAGATCAAGGGCTGTAACCCTGTTTATCTCCTTACTTACAGATGGATGTTCGGCACAAACGGATAAAATACTATCTATCGACTAACTTTTATGGACTCTTCCCCGCCCATGCTCAATTTTACAGAGGATTTCTTTATAAAAAAAAACCCGATATGCCAGTCTGCCGATGACGTTGATAAACATTAGATAAAACAATTAAAGTTATCGGAATTTATTTTATTAGCGACAGTTTTTAAGATTTTGGTATCTTTATAATAATTGAAAATTGTTCAGTTTGATTTTTCCAACCTTTAAAACAATGTTACCATAGCTTAAAGCTCAATTATGTAAGATTTAGATAATGAACTGGTTTATCTTGTTATAATAGTTCAGAAATAGATAATAAAAAATATATAATTACCTTATTCTGAGAGATTTATGGGTGTTTGAAGTTTTGACAATATATAGCGTACATATAGTCTCGATTGTCAAGTACCCTTGCTAAGATAATAAATAAAGTCTCGATTATCCATTTTAACATTGAATTATTAAATGCCGTGGGGATCTAATCCATTCAATATCTCGGCAATCCGATGATCTAGAGAGTTTATTATGGACTTGTCATGTGATTGAATGCATAAATAATAATTTATATCACATTCGAAACCAGGTAAAAAAAAAGGTGACTTGCAATAGTCAGATTTAGCTCTTACATAATGCATCTTTAATGTAGAGATACAAGAATGTAATGTGTTTAAAAATTGATGTAAACAGATACCAAAATCTGGTTATGTATTTACACAACAAATTGTAGTAAGTAATCTTTATTTGGGAATTTGAACAACGTGTCAGTCTGCAGAAATACAACGTAAAACAAACCGAAAAATATTTATAAAACACCATGCTTGAAATTATCAAAAGCATTTCATTTTTATGTCAGTCGACTGTATTGGCATTTCAAAATGTCTGACAAGATGTTTTCTATTCCTGGGATAATTGGTGAGTGTCTATTTTTGCAAATCGACACATCTCTATCGTTTTGTTGGTCCAAACATATGCCAAATATAAGGCTAGAAAATGTTAATGTATATTCATGTAATTATTGTATAAACAACGGGTCGAATTGTTGAAGTAGTATCTGATCACTGAGAGGAAACTGTGATCTATTTTTATCGCATATTATGTAAACACGACTGAGCCTTGTGTGTATCCCCTGAATAATACCTACCTATCTTACTAAACACCACATAATGTCAAATGTTATATATAGATCCTTAACATTTTTATTTTCTCATTCATTCACATTTTCCACGCTCTTCTCGTGACTGACGCCAGACGCTTGAAGACATTTTATTGATGCAGTTACCGGAAATGTTTGCTGATCTGAAAACACTGCTCGATTTCTGCCAGAAAACATGACGCCAAAAGGAAATTTGTCGATGAGGAGCTTTTAATCGATCAGCACGGAAATCTATCATACAATCATCATAAAGTCGTGATGGGAGCAAAATATCATCACACTTCCGGGACACTTCTTTCAAGCCGGAAGTAGTCATGTCTGCAATCTAACAATTGGCGCCATTTTCAACGTTTATTTTGGGATCTCGTCTGTCGTCCTTGCAACCTTAGATGATATATTCGGCTTAAGTTTCAACAGGATGGAATGGCAGATTTGCTGAAGTGACGTAAAATAAAGTCTCGCTGTCCGTTTTATATTGATGTAGCAAGATTGAACACGACTCACGAACAATTGTCGTAAATTGCTCTTTAATTGTTCTGACAATCACTGTTCATTTGAAACCAGAGGTGAAATGTCGTGATTTTAATAGGGTTCTGATCTGACTTGTCAAAAGCAATAAATTTGTCTTCTTGTGATTTAGGCGGTTAAGTGTGTGAACGAATTCTTCAATTCGGCCATTTATATTGACTTTTATCTTCAAATTGGCACAATAGACTGGGTAATCTGAATTTGGCACATATTGGCACAATAGACTGGGTAATCTGAACTTGTCGCAATACTTACTGAGACTTATTATTACTTTGATATTACAAAAATGTGCACCTCATGAAAAACAAGATTGGGGTCTTTGTATCTAGGAAAATAAGCTAGAATAAACATTAATGCGGTGGTTGGCTTACTTGTGTAACATATTTTGGGTTCCCTAGTAAAATACATTGTAAGTTCATTCCTTGGGAAGACGTTATACTATCTCTTAGGTAGATTGATGGACATTAACAAATCTAAAAGGATGCAGGTGTCCGATTCCTCCCCACACGACTTTGCGCAACGTTAATGGATAAGGACTACTTATTTAAATGGATGGCGATAATTGCAACAACTCTTGAAGACGGAATCGACAGTAAACGTGACATCACATTAATCTGCACAGCATTAGACTCCATTTATATGTATGTCCTATCCCTCTTAGTCTAAACATTTCCTCAAATATTGACTCAAAATTTTACTCATAATATTTGTTTGTTCGCTTTTCGGACTGTTTTGGGCAATTAACAATCTTATAGAAATATTTATGTACTTTAGACCTGTGGTGTGTCACCTTAGGGGGTAAAGACACAATGTCCCATGGTGTTGGTTTAGCTCTTGTAATGTAAACGGTAAGCGATTTACTTTTATTGCAATTATATGGTTCCATTTAAGGGCTTGTTTACCTGGGTCAATACAGGGGTATAGTGGAGAAATAGTTGACTTTTAAGTAAAAGTGGGGAGTATGTTTAATTATTGAAAGTAAAGAATAGAAGTTAATGGATAGTCATACTACCGTGGTTTTAGGCCAAATCCTTGATTTAAACATCAAGTAGTATTCGTGGAATCGCCCAAGTAGTCAAGATACCAAACAAGGTACTGGTGTTGATCCCGCTGAATTATTTTAGGTATTTTAGCTTTTTGTCAAATCGTCTGCTTAAATTGCAACCTACACTCTTGTTTTGTATACTCCATTAAAGAGGTATATGCTTGAAGAACGGATTTACACAGACACGGCTCCCCAAACCTCTTCAAAAATACTGAATAAGATATTATTAATAAAAGGTAAATGTAGTTTAAATAGGAAAATATAAAATATTGTGTATTTTAAAAACTGTAAAGCGGTGATAATATAACAATGTAATGAATAGTAATTTTTGTCATGTTACGTAGTATTGTGTTAACATAAACACAATTAAAATTATATCCGGTTACGAAATATTGAATGAATATGTCCACGATTCATATTACATATAAATCAACTGAACAGTTCCTTATATTACACTGGATTTTTTTAGGAACCCCGTGAATTAAATTATAAAGTAAAGTGACACTTGAATAAAATAGTATGCAGCTCTGCACGTAATCCCCGTAGAAGGAAGCTTTAACAGTAAAGGGGCCCAATTGATGTTCATTAAAACATATCTATATTATTATGTTAAACCAATCCCTTAAGGTACACCAACTGCTTGATTTTTACATACATTGTTTTATTTTTTTAATGGGATTTTTTTTTTTAAAAGTTATTTAGTTATTTAAGGCATGGTTTACATCTTAGATTATCTGACGTGTTCCACTTTAACCAGTTCTTAATAATTACGGATGCATATAAATCGTATGTGTATTTCGAGCATGAACAATACATTGATAATCAAGGACAGGTATTAACAATTGACAAACATTCAATGTGGATGGCGTGTAAACAGGATAATTTATGTATAAAAAAGATAATAATAATATCCGGGTTTATTTAATAATTTTCTCGAAATTTCTCTAATTTTCCTGGTTCTGATTTCTGCATAGTAGGTCTATACAAT